AAAACCTTGTCGAAACGTTGTACATTTGCTGTTATGTTAAACTTATACTAAAGTTTTTCTTCATTACCCATTCAAGTAATCTAATGTTAGTCTGAAAGCTGTACTTTTTGTACAATGGAACACCAAGCCATCGATTCCTGTTGCTCACACTGTGAACATGAAAGAAACTTATCAAAACATGCAGATTATACTTTAGGCTATCAAATATTATTACTATAGGTGGAACATATGTGGTGATTTATAAGTTACTGCACTCCTGATTGGCCTGCAGAACGAATTGTGTCTCTGGGAGCCGAGACGATATAAATCATTTAAAAAAGAAGGAATGGTCAGTGAGAGAGAATCACATACCAGCGAAACAGAATATCTAGTATCAACCTTTAGTGAATCCTCAAAATATGTTTCTACCCCACTTCATATTAAACTGGGATTCATGAAGAATTATGTAAAAGGAATGAACAAAGATAGTAATGGTTTCAGATCAGTCTGACAAGGTTCCAAAAATCAGTGAAGGAAAAATGAAAGGAGGTATCCTTGTTAGGCTACAGATCCGGGATGATGATTTTCAAATAGTACTCAATGAGAAAGAACTTGATTCCTGGAAATCATTCAAACTGGATGTCACAAATTCCTTAGGAAATCACAGTGATGAAACTATGCTTTGATAATTGATGGTATGCTCGAGAACTACATGAATATGGGATTTAGAATGTCACTAAAGATGTACTTCTTATACTCCCATATAGACTTATTTCCAAATGATCCAGGTGCAGTGAGACAATGGCATGATGAGAGCTTCTACCAAGATATTTCTTCAATGGATGATAGATTACTGTCGGTTCGTACAGCGTGAAACTGAGGACATACACGAAAGGTGCAACAGATCTAGCAGATATTTTGTAACAAAAAATAATAACAAGATGAAAGTTTTGAACATAGCCTTAATATTTTATCAGTATATAATATTATTATACTCATTGCTTTTTTAAACTGGTATTGCTATTATGCATTGTTTATGGAACATTGTTAAATACAATTTTCAATAAATAAAGTTATTAAAGAAAAAGTTGTTATTTTCACGATATATAAGAATATTTTGAATAAAGCTATAATAACTCGAAAATAAGAGGTGATCAGTAATTTTCAACATGATTTTTAGAATCATCAGTGGCAAATTACTCATAAACAGCTGCAATTTTTCTAGTAGCAGAGAATTTTTGTTGTTGTTGTTGTTGTCTGGTGTTAATTGGCAGATATAAATGTTATTTCTACTAAGACTTTATATGTTGTAATTCAATTTGCCTAACAAATCCCGTTATTCAGAAAGCCCTATTTGTCATCAATATACAAAAAGGAAGCTATTCTAGACTATTCTTATCTAAAGTCACTAATGAGCCAGCAGAAAATGCTGTAGTATAACTTTTTGTCCTTCTTACAGTGAAAAAAAGAAAGCCAAAACATATTACTATTAAAAATCAAGTATTATCAACATTTTCTGATTTTTACTCAAAGATAATATATCTATAAAAATGTACAAGAGTATGTTTTAAATCAAATAATTAAAACCTCCATTATACACTTTTTTCTCGAGTGCTGGAGTACCATATTGATCAACAAGAAATAGAAGTCAGGTCGGTTAATTTTGGTTTTAATTTATCATAAAGTAAGAATACAATAACATTTTGGAAAGCATAGTGTTAAGACGATTATACAGAAAGTTGGTACACAACTTAGAAATTAGCAAACATAACTTAAATTAATTTTTAATACAATTTTAGAGAAAACTATGACTAATTATTGAAATAGTTCAGGTCTCCTCAGTTGTTGCCTTCCTCCTGAAATATCTTTGGATAAGACATGCCATTAAAATCTGAAACAAAATTAATTCCAATTTTATGTTTTAACGTACCTGATCTGTAACTTCAAAACAAACATCTAATAAATTACAGATTTTTGATTTAGAACCATTAAGTTAATTCGTTTGACAAAGTTAAGTATGTACGCTTTCATTGGAGTGATCGTCTAACTCGAATGAAGTATCTCACACTTTGATATAAAGTATGCAAAAACAAAAAGAAACACAAAGTTGCCATTTTAACAAATATTAGAATAATGGTAAAAAAATTTCAATTTGTTCATTTAAAGCTTTTTTTTTCACTAGCTTGAAACAAAGAAAAAGGAAATACTTTTACAAATAAGCATACTTAAATTAAATGCATACCTGGTAATGTTTCCTATCATAATGGTTAACATTGCTGTATTCATTTCTTATTAAATGTTCACATGTCTGCACAGGAAAATAAATAAATTAAAAAACAACAGATCAACAACCAGTTAAAACTGCTTTCCAGATCTTTATTTGCTATCATTTGACAATAAGTAACATTATGTATATTGTTATAATTCTGAAATTTTAAACGCGAATTTTCAAAGCTGCACGCGGGCTCGGAATGGCCAGGTGGTTAGGGCGCTCGACTCGCAGTCTGAGGGGCGCGGGTTCGAATCCCCGTCCCACCAAACATGATCGCCCTTTCAGCCGTGGGGGCATTATAATGCGACGGTCAAT